CTTTCTACTCCCGTAAAGATTTACACCCTCGGAAACCCTGTACAGGGTCGCTATGGGTCGGAACCGACTCGATGGCACTTAACAACAACAACAACAAGGATAATAAATATCCTAGACATTTGGAGACAAACTCTTAGTTCTGAGTATTTCATAAAATCTTATAACATCTGTATGTGGAGAAAACAGTATTTCTAACATTTTGCACTCCACTAAAACAAACAGGGGAGTTTTGGTGTGGTGCGCTGGACTGCAGATTCGGTTTGAACCTCAAGGATGGCAGTTCAAGTTCACCAGCTGCTCCTCAGAAACCCTATACAGAGTCTCTTTTAGTCAAAATTGACATGCACTTAACAGCACTTAACAACAAAATAAATGGGAAAGATGAGGTAACCAATCTTTTGCCAGCTACCAAAAACCTACAGAGTATAGGAAGCAAATGATTCATACATACATAGGCAACCATGGGGCAGAGAAGTGGAGAGGACTAATGAACAACTTGGGTTTTAATTATTGTTGTTGTTAAGTGCCATTGATTCGGTTCCAACTCATAAAGACCCTATATAGGGTTTCCAAGGAGTGTCTGGTGAGTTTGAACTGTCGACCTTCTGGTTCAGACTGACCCTGCTGTCGAGTGCTTATCCTAAAGCACCACACCAGTACCTAAAATGTATATAAGTACCTCAGTTGCTTGTATACAGAAAGGTTCATATTAATGCAATAGTAATTGAAATTATCCTTAATCCTTCAAATTGCTTTGTCCTTGTCATCTCTGTATTTAAAGCAAAATCAGATTGTGGTTGTGTTTTAGCTGTTTCTGAACTAGCATTTTTCTGCATCTATTTAGTGTTAGCCAATTACTGGAACACAACCAAATATAAGATCAGCTGATGGAGACAAGAAAAGGCATTAGGTCTGAGGTGGGCGGCCTGGATCCATGTCTTGGCACTGCTGCCTAAGAGCTCTATCATGTATCCACTTGCCTTAAGTCTCTGTCTCCTCAAACATAGTGACCATATGTCATTATCTCTTAGGTTTCTTGTAATGACAAAATTATATAATATTTAAGAAAAATTGCATTATGGATAATAAATTACTATTAGTCCTGGTATGGAGCTGTGGGATAAAGCACTGAACTACAAGGTTGGTTTGAACTATAAGGTCAGAGGTTCAGACTAAATGCTCCTTGGAAATCCTGTAGAGCATCACTATGAGTTGAAACTGACTCGAAGGCACTTAACAACAACAACAACAATTATAATCATTATATACTAAACTATATTTAATTTTCAAGTTCATCAACTCAATTTCTGAATATAAGATAACAAAGCCCAGAGGAAATGCATTTAATTGCAATTTTGAGATTTCCAGATATTTTAGTTATCACTAAACCTAAAATGAACTCACTTGTCCTTGAAATTTTCCTTTGATTTGTAGTGAAATATGATGGTAAGTAAAAAAGATTGTTACAAAATGATGGAAAATAAAAACATCAAAATGTGAAGCTTTTGTTTCTCAGCATATCATCCATCTAGAGCTATGCACATCTGAAGGCAGTGTCTCCATCTTTCTAACCCTTCCCTGAAGAATCCTCCTGCATGCTTCCATTTAGAGCACATCAAAATG